GCTACCAGTACCATGATGTCCGTGGCGGGGGGGTAGTTCGTCTGTTCGTCGCTACCAAGGAGAGCTGCGAGCACGCGCACGACAGCCTTCAAACTCACGGTCTTGGTCTGCACCATCGACGGTAATCAAGGGGTAAGCTCCAAAAATACCTGTTCAATTCGATTTAATCTGATTCCAGCCAAAAATCTTGTTTCTACTTTTCCCTAAACAAGTATATTATCAAATGAGTGTCAATACTAATTTACTTACCAAATTAGGAACTGAACTATTGAGAATACCCATATGTACTATAGAATTAAATACACTAGGTACATTATGCATAAAATATCTGTAGAATTTTTAGTTTGCTTTTTTACCTTACAATGAAATGTTCTCCTTCCCTTTGATTTATTTTGGTCGTGCTCCATTTGTGCAAAATTGAAGAGTTTCCAGATCTGTCCCCGTTTCTTTTCAATCCTACGAGGCCCAAAAACAGGCCTCTGACTAACTATGTTTTGAGACTCTATTGATTTTTCTAGATTAGCTAATGGGCCATTACAGCACACATCTTTCGAAGCTATTGTGAATCTGCGGGCAGTTTTCCATTGTGTAAACTAAATTCACGTGTCATTTCTGTTGGTGGCACAAGGAGCAGCATAAATAAAGTGCAATTTGATGAGTGCCCAAGTTATCAAAGAGAGAACTGTTATGTATCTCGTCATATAATACTTAATAGTCCCTCCATATGAGAGAGAGAAGGCCAAGAATAACAATGCACAAGATACTCCCGCAATTTTAAAATGCCATAATAGCTGAACTGTTTTACTAAATACATCTTCTTAATACTTATTTGACTGGAAGTATAGATGTATTTTCATTTTTCCTTAGATATGGTTGTTTGCAAGCCTCGCTATTGTGAATTATGTTGGATGCACAAAGCCACCTGCTGATGCAATGATCGTGAGGTTCATTTTTGGGATCTGTTAAATTCTTACCTAATGGCAATGCATGTTTCCTCTTATTGCAGCATCCAAGACATTCTTGACGCTATGAAAGGTATGCTCTCCTATAAATTAGACTCACTATATATGATTATCTTGCATTACACCTCGGTTCAATACACAGGAATGCACTTGCAATTCAATTAGCCAGCTCTATTCAATATATTTGTTCAAATTTTACTATTCTTTCTACGATTTTATGGTCAGTACTCAAATACATTAATTTCTGCGATAGTATTCTAAAGTTGAATAGCTTTATAATTGACGGATTTTAATTTCCAGTAGCAAAATACATGGTCCTTAGGTCTGTTTACAGGACTGAAAGCTTACCTGCATTCTTATTATGTTTTTTTGGAGCAACTTATGATTTATCACCTGATAATCACAAGCTTCGAGGCACTATTTTTTTTAACAATATATTGCCTGATTCTGAGTGACTTACAAAGCATGAGAAAGTAGTTGACTCAAAATGTCAAATCCAGAGATGAGAGATTTGTTTTTGAGATGCACTGGTTTTTATAGACTCAGTTAATTGTATTGTGGTTGAAACAATGCATTTGGTCTTGCTTAGAGCTAATTATTTATACATTTCATTGTAATAACTTTCAGTTCAACTATTGGGCACTGTGCTGTTATGCATATGTTGTTATTTTCCATCTCTACCTTACCTTAATGTTTATTGATGAAGATGGTTTTTGTTATTTCATTCCACTGAATGCATTTAGAGATTATTTACAGCAAAGTACTTCACCTATTTTTTCCTCCTTTATGGATCTCCAGGCACTTGGAAGAAATTTCATCGGGCCTTCTTTTTCTGAGTTAGTTTTGGTTGGAATGCTGTCAGATGGTTCATCAACTCTTTGTTATGCCCAGGTAGGTTGTTCATTTGCCTGATCCATTCTAATTATGGGTTGTTTGGATGGCTTAACTATGTGTTTTTAAATTCACAAGATTAAAGCATCATTGGGAGCTATTATGCACTTTAACCTGTAATTTCAGTTGTAATTCCTCTGGTTAATAATAAGTCTCCAAAACATAGATGTTAATAATTTAGTGGAGTAGGGGTGCACGCACAACTAAAGCCACATCCAGGCACATCAGTTTCCTCCTCAGCCCATGGCCAAGGCCATTTTGATCTGATGCGAGACTCTGTCCAACCCATATTGGATTGGACTGTTGCGAGTAGAACCAAATGGTAGCAGACTTGCCTGGCATAGCCTAGGCTGGCCGGTAGTCTTGCCTGGCACTATTTCCAATCTCCCGCAACAGTTCAAGCTCAGTTTGTTTTGCTGACTTTATACCTTATCCTTACATAAGTCCTTTTGCAAGTGAAGAAACATTTTCATATGCTAAACTGATTGAGTTTCAGTATCCTGAATCCTAAGTCAATGAAACTTAAATTTTGATATTATACCATGTTTCAATTTTATCTTCTGTGTTCCTATTATCTGTGCAACTAACATATTTGTATCAGTTATTATGATGTAAGGGACCTTACTTATCATTGACCAATGCAGGTGACTACAAGTTACGTTTATTCGAGTGGGTGCTTGTGGTGGCGGGTAGGATTTATGTTTCAGGATTTCTATCGTCAGATTTCCTATCTTTTGTTGTGGTTCATTTCAGGTATTGGAGATATGGAGGAAGGTGGGTCAGATTGCATAGCTAGGGAAGGAGATAATCAGAACACTTTTCCCCTGGTGCTGATTAATTCCATCCTTAAATATCATGATATTTCAAGGTATCCACGAATCTATACAGAGCTGTGGGTGTAAAGCAACCTCACAATAATTTGTGAACTATGCACAGGCCAAAACCGGAGTTGAACAATATCAATTGGTTAGCACTTCAGGTGTCCCGTCTATTGTTTGACATTCTACTTCAATGAGATCTTAAAGATATATTTACATGTAGTTTCTTTTTTTATACTCTTTTGCCTAGAAAAAATTGAGGCTCCCCGTAGCAACGCACGGGCATCAACAAGTCATGATAAAGGCTGAAATTGGGTTTGCAAAAGGTGAAACAAGGACTCCAGTGAAATGCGGGCAGGAATTTCATGATAAATTTGACTTTGCCCAGAGATAAAGAGGTCCAGTTAAATTACGGTGAGAATTATGTGTTGCAATCAGATATGAAGCGTTTATTTTCTACTTATAGCAACACTGTACATATGTATTGACTTTGCCCAGAGATAAAGAGGTATTGTATCACTGATGTCCTCATATATTGACTAAATAAAGTATCAGTTATTATATTTTTTTGCTCGTGCATGACAGGCGGAGTGACCATTACTGACGATTTCGGCGAATTGGTATTCAGTCCTATTTGTAATCAGGCGCATGATTTTCAAAGTGAGGTTCTTATGGGGTAATTCATTGATTTAATTTATTGACTACAACAATTACCCAAAAGTTTTTTATTTGTTTATAGGCCTACACAATCGTCTACTTGTTGATGAAGCCAGACGTCGCCGAGTTCAAGAATTTGCTAAAGACACCGTGTCACGTCTCATAGATTTAGAGAACTAAATAATATTGAAATTATTTACACGCTTTTGACATGCACTTTGAATAGATGATGGACATAAATTTAGTTTAATATAATAGTCATTTTGTGCATTTTCATTAGTCAAACAGGTTCAAAATATGTGGATTGAGCGATGTTTGTTTGACATATTTGATTGCTTCATTTATTTTGTAATATCGGAGACTTCTTGCCGATATAAAATATTATTTTAGTCGTATCACGGAAAGGTCGAGTTTGTGAGCCTGCGGTGCCGTGCTCTCAGTGACTGTTAATTTCACAAACTTTGCTTTTTGATTAAATGTCAGTTTAATGTCTTACAGTATTGTTATCTTATCGTGCGATCCGTGTGTTTTTAGTACAAAAGTTTAGTTGTTCCGTAGTAACGCACGGGCACGCTACCTAGTTTTGATGAAGATTTAAGGTGGTGTACTTTATTTTTTTCTAGTGGAACAGATTGATAATTAAGATATATGTCGGCGTTCCGAAGATCGACTAGTAAATTTTAGGGGGAGGGGAGGGCCGCCAGTCGTTGTCACTGCCGCCGTCGTTGGAGGCTTCGTGGGAGGCGCTGCGGGGGCGGGAGCGGCGGTGGTGGGGGACAACGGAGGGGAGCGCGTGATGTGTAGGTGAGGATTGCGGCGATGGAGACGCTTGGGGATGGAGCGGAGTCACGAGTTTTGTCGGCGGAGTCGGGAGTCAGGCAGGAACCGGATTGAGTGACTTTGCTTCTTCTTAAAAAAAAGTCACGGTGTAACTTTCCATCTATCTCCCACGTCCATTCAAGATCCCACGCCTCTCTAAAGCAATTAGGGCTGTGCTTCTTTTTTCACCAAACTTCGAAAAAAAATTAGGGAATGCTGCCGGCGGGAGCGCTCAGTTCGGCTCGGCACGCTGTGTTTGAATGGGCAAGCTGTGTTTGAACTGAATCCATCTCAAGCCAGGTGGTTGTCAAAAAAAGTTGTAAAAAAAAAGCCAGGTGGTACTGCCGCTGAACAAAAACGGCTACTAATTCTGCTGTAGACCTCAAGTTGCTGTTGCACCGTGAATAATCAGACCCTCAAGTCCATCTGCATCAGCACTACTGTTCTCGACCTGCTCTGAACTGAAATACACGCCACGACACTTTCGTGAAAAAAAAAAGCCCACACTGGTGTGAAGAACAGAGCAGCAGCAGCGGAAAAAACAACCGCCCTATTCGCTTGGCTGATAAGTCATGGCTGAAAGTACTGTTGACTTTTTATTGTGAGAGAAAAATATTGTTCGTTAGTTAAAAAAGTACGACTTATAAGCTAAGCGAACAGTGCGAACAGTGTGAACTCCACTGAGCTTTACCAAAAATTAACCAAATCAAGTCCTATTGGTCTGAGATTTCAACCACAAAAATACATTCAGTTTCACTCAGATAAAGTACTATGGGTGTCTCCAAATGCAGATAAAGTGCACATAGCAGGTAAAGTGCACGTTCAGTGATAAAAAAGCTCGTGTGCCTCCATCATGGCCAGAAACAAGATCATGCCCAGAAATCTGCACACAGGCAAGAATAGCACTATCAAACAGTTTGACATCCTGCGGAAATCATGTCCTGGTGAAGACTCCAGTGTCCAAGAACTTTGTCCAGGTGCCTGCAATATCCGGGTGAATTCTCATTTCCATCTGCTGGTCCAAAAAAACTTTTAGGGTTACAGAATGAAAAACATGGAAGCAGTAACATACAGGAACACAGTGGAAGAGATGGCGCTCCCAAAGATGCGAATCACAAGGATGCGGCATTGAGAACGGTGAGAAGTCAGTGAACTTGTTTGTCCTCCAAGCTGACCCATCCTACACAAGGATGCGGCGCAAGTGATGAAGTTGAAGAATGGTGATGAAGTTGACCCATCCTACACAAGGACTGGGTTAGCTAACAGATTTCCTCATTTGATAAAAGGGCAGTTACTGACTTACTGTCAGACAGCTACAAATCTTGAGACGGTGAGAGGAAGGCCTGTGCTAAGCTAAGCACTTGCACATAATAAGACAGATGAAATTATATGGACATCTATGTTTTGTGGCATGGAAATGCTGCCTTCAATAAATTTGTCAGCTGACTAGCTGAGCAAGTGCTCTCAATGAATCAACAACAACAACAACAACAAAGTCTTTAAGTCCCAAACAAGTTAGGGTAGGCTAGAGTTGAAACCCAACAAAAGCAATCAAGGTTCAGGCACGTTAATAGCTGTCTTCCAAGCACTCCTATCTAAGGCTAAGTCTTTGGGTATATTCCATCCTTTCAAGTCTCCTTTTATTGCCTCTACCCAAGTCAACTTCGGTCTTCCTCTCGCCTCTCTTCACGTTACTATCCCGATAGGATTCCACTACGCGCACCGGTGCATCTGAGGTCTCCGTTGCACATGTCCAAACCATCTCAACCGTGTTGGACAAGCTTTTCTTCAATTACGCTACCCCTAATCTCTCACGATATCATCGTTCGAACTCGATCCTTCTTGTATGACCGCAAATCCAACGCAACATACGCATTTCCGCGACACTTAGCTGTTGAATATGTCGTCTTTCAGAGGCCAACATTCTCGCAATACAACATAGCAGGTCTAATCGCCGTCCTATAAAACTTGCCTTTTAGCTTCTGTGGTACCCTTTTGTCACATAGGACACCAGACGCTTGCCGCCACTTCATCCACCCTGCTTTGATTCTATGGTTAACATCTTCATCAATATCCCCGTCCCTCTGTAGCATTGATCCTCAATGAATATTTCATGAAATGAGTTAGCAAGATAGGTTTAGATTGAACAAGATACTGTTTTAGAACAAGCACACAAAATCTCCCTAATAGAGACCCCCAAAACTAAAGCAAGGCCACTATTGATCCATTCATATATGGCACACTCATACATGAAAAGCCTCTAGATTACATGATTAAACATTACATTTAAGACAGACATGGCTGAGTAGAGTCAGATCACACTGGTAGGAACATTTAAGATAAACATAAAGTTGTGCTGCATATTTTCAGTTCGGTCACCAAACTGGTAGCACAGCATATATCAGTTGCCCCAAGTGATTGGAAACTTGCTGATAATCCCCAAATGAGCTGGCGAGAAGGGGCCATTTCCCAAGTTTTCTATATATCACACGAACTCTTGATCTTGAATTATTTTACTGCATAGACTAAATTTCCTTTTAGTTGTACCTGCTTTCTCAGCATTGCGTTTTCCAAATTACACCAAGGGACACAATGCAATTCCAAAGTATATACTTTGAAGATTCATGTATTTAATGAGTAAATGACTGGCAAAATTGCGGCTCTATGTTCCGTAGACTATAGTTGATGGGCACTACAGATAGCATTAAAACTAAATAAAGCCTATTAAACACAACATTATACACCAACTAGACTATCCTCTATAGCTCAAGCTTACTTGATTATTTCTTTTTTGGCAAGTTGTTGGAAGCAATGATCAGCTCCAAGAATCATTTCTTAAGGAGACTGCAAGGAAGGAAATTAAGTATTAGAAAACAACATGATTTTTATCAACTAACCAGGGAAAGACAAGAAGCAAAAAATTACCTTTCATGATACGTGTGAGAATCTTAAGTCCCATTACTTGAGTATAATTTTCACTATTGCCATGTAACAGGTCGAGTATTTGCACAAAACTGCTATACAGAACATATGAGTTCTGCTGATCCAAGCAGTGTTGCTGATGCTCATGTAGCTATATCTAGGCTGCCCTGCTACTTGCTAGCGATGAACATGTACAAGATGAATAATAGCACAAGTGTATATGCAACATAACTAAGCTTGCCTCCCCTCTGCAAGAACTTCACCCCAAACCTTCATCTCCACACGAACAACTTCCATCCTTAAAATGGTGGAGTTGCTTACTGTCCCTAACAATTATATCTCTTCGTACTATGTTAGAAATCATCTTCAATATCCTGTGACAACTCTGACATGTGTACTGGTTTTTGATGACAGAAATTGAGGTGCCAGGTGTGGTATTGATCAAACCAAAAGCAACAGCAAGTCTTTCGCTGTGACCACAAAAGATGTCATCCTTCAATACTTTATCTTCTGGAGAATGAGATTCAACAGGAGCACATCCAGATGCTTTCATCCGCTCATATATTCCTTCTAGAACAGTATTTATTTCTCTGATCTGTGGATGTGATTCATCATCCGTAAGAAATGCATGGACCACTCCTTTAACCTCAACCCAGCTACATCCAGAATCATGATCCAGTCCTTTCTCCCGCATGGTTTTCCTCACCCTAGCCAATTTATCCCATATACCAGCATCAGCATACAGATCACACAAAAGAACATGATATCCAGCATCATTAGGCTCCAATTCAAGGACATATTTTGCAGCAAGCTCCCCAAGTTCAACATGCCGGTGTATCCGACATCCATTTAGCAAGGCTCCCCAAACTGCAGCATCTGGTGTGATAGGCATTTCATTTATGAAGTTGTAAGCTTCTGTCAGTTGCCCAACACGACTTAGAAGATCCACCATGCATGCATAGTGCTTGAGATTTGGAACAATAGAGTATTTCTCAGTCATGCTGTGAAAAAGCTCCCAACCTTCACTGACCATTCCACCCCTACTACACGCACATAGCAGGGCAATAAATGTAACTTCATCTGGGCATTCTCCTATTTTCACCATTTGATTGAAGAACGATAAAGCAGCATCCCCATGACCATGAGCAACAAAACCTGCAATCATGATATTCCACGACACAACATCCTTTGCACCGTGTGCACAGAACTGTGCCCAAGCATAGCCTGTCTGGCCACATTTTACATACAAGTCAATAAGGGCATTGGGCAAATAACCTTCATATGCAATACCACACCTTAAAACATGTGCATGGATCTCCTTACCACTCCTCAAAGCCCCAGTAGCAGCACAAGCAGCAAGAGCAGCGATAAAAGTGACAGAATTAGGATTTACATCTGCCAGCATATGCCTGAAATAGTAAAGAGCCTCAAAGTTCCTATGGTTGAAGCAAAATCCTGCGATCATTGAACTCCATGATACTACGTCCTTCTCAGGCATGCACTTAAAAACTTCAATAGCCTTATCAATACGCTTGGACTTTGCATACATTTCAAGGAGTGCATTTGTAACTACGACATAGCTCATGAATCCCTTGCTCTCGGCAAGCTCATGCAACTTGACACCGACATCCAACCTCCCCAAGCAAGCACAAGCAGCAAGGGCACTTGCAATAGTAATATCATCAGGACTTACATTGTTCACTTCCATAAGTGCATACACTTCAAGAGCTTTATCTGGGAAACCATTTTTCTCATACCCAGATATCATAGCTGTCCATGACATGGCATCTCTAGCATCCATTCTTGAGAACACTGTTCTTGCTTGCCCCATCATACCGAGACTCACATACATCTGAATCAAAGAGTTACAGAATGCAACATCAGTGGCAAAACCCCTCTTCACTGCAAGCCCATGCATTTCCTTTGCAAAAGTTATGTCAGATAACAAGCCTGATGCAACAGTCACACTAGTTATTGTCATGAGGTTAGGCTGAACCTCATCCTGCAGCATGGTAAGAAACAACTCCAGCCCCGCATTGCACTCACCGTTCTCAAAATGCCCAGCAATCATGGCATTCCATGAGATACAGTCCATCACGGTCATATTGTCAAACACCTTGCGCGCAGCCACAACGTCCCCACACTTGCAGTACATGGTCATGAGTGCATTCAGGACATCGACCTCCTCCCCAAACCCAAACCGAAGAACATGCGCATGCACCTCCCTCCCCATCCTCCAGTCTGGGACGCCCCCACAGCTCCGCAGAACGCAGGGGAACGTGTACACGTCCGGCCTCACACCTGCCCACATCATCCTGTGGTACAGGTCCAGCGCCTCTTCCAGCAACCCGGCCTTCCCGTACCCGCCCACCATGACGTTCCAAGAGAATACGTCCCGCTCGGGCATCTTGGCGAACACCCTCCACGCGTGCCACGTCTCCCCGAACCTGATGAGCATGCTGAGCATGGCGTTCCCGAGGCGGAGCCCGAACCACGCGTGCCGGTCGTCCGCGTGCGCGCACGCGCGCAGCCCCAGTTCGACCGCGCGGCGCCACTCGCAGAGGCGGAACAGAGCGACGTAGGCGTCCTCGTCGGGCGGCTCCGCCGAGGACTCGAGGAGCCAGAGCGCCTGCGCGAGCTGGCCATCGGAGCAGAGCGCTCGCAGCTCCGCGCTCGGGTCCGCGGAGGAGGAGGTGGACGCCGCCGCCGAGACGGCGGCCGAGCTGAGACGGCGTAGGCGCTTCTCTGCGTGGAGGCGGATCGGCGGGAGGGCGCGCGGCAAGGCAAGGGAGGCGAGTGGGAGGAGCACTGGATTGAGTGCGGGCTTAGTGGGCAGCGGCGGCATCTCTGGAAGCGGAGGAGGAGGCGCGCATGGCGCTGGAGCCGCGGCCTCGGGGTTTTGGAGAGGTTTGGCGGACGGCGAGCGGAGGAGCGCGTGGCCAAGCTGGTGGCCGCTTGCTCCGCGAGCGCGAGTGGATAAAGCAGCGCGGGTGTGAAGCGAGAGGGGTCATTAACGCCCTCCGTGTTCACAAGTTAACTTTTTTTTTATGAGGGAGTGTTCACAAGTTAACTGATTATTGGGGCTCCATCAATCTTACTGGGCCTCCGTCTTCCTTAGGCCCTTATCCAGCCTGATTTAGCGGAAGCGTGGAGCCCTGGCTCAGCCCAAGCCCAAAGACATCAGGGGAAATTCACTGAGCCTTTTACCTA